AAAAGATGTGTAGATGAGGCGCTTAGGGACATGGTTTAGTGGGTGGTGGTGTTGGGTTGACGATTGGACTCGATGATCTTAGAGGTCTTTTCCAACCTTAATGATTCTATGATTCTATGATCCTGCCCTTATTAGTCTACTTTTAAATACCCTGTAATAAATAACCAATGCTGCCACTGCTCCACCACGGTGTTTCAGCTGCAGAAGGTCTCCTGCAGCTGGGGTACAATGGCCAGCACGTGAGGTTTTTTTTCACCCTGTCCACATGGCCAGTTATGTAGCACCAAAGCCGTAAGAGTTCATTGATTCCCTGCTGCTCCCTCCCCTCTTTTTGAAGCAAATAACCCTTCACAATATCACAAATGGTTGCTGTTATGGGGAGATTGGGGCTTCAAGCAGGGCAAAGGCAGCAGGAGCAGATGAACTCTAAAGAAACAAAGCTCATGTTTTCATGCAAATAGCCATAGTAATAAAAAAAGGAAGAAAATACACAACATTGAAGATTACAATTGAAGAGCCATATTCTCCTAAGATTCCCCAACGCAGCCCTTCCTCGCCAGAGATTTCACTCAGTAAAGGATTCACTGCGGTCATCCAAACTCCTGTCTTTCACAGCAGTTCCAGCTGGATGTAGAAAGAACAGGGAGGCTGCAGCCCTGCAGCCCCCAGCTCTCCTAAACCACTCCACCCAGGGAGCCCAGAAGGAGGTGGCCCCAACCCCTTGCAGCAGCTCAGGGTGGCTGAAGCCGCTCGTTCAGCACGCCCTGTGTGTAACAGCACGGGTAGGTTTGATGCACCCGTATTATCAATCTGAAACTTGCAATATGCAGAGAGAAGGGCTCCACGCGTGGATTTCAGACCTGGAGCTCACCTTGCAGGAAACGTTACCCTCCAAGACATTTAAACCCCCTTATCTCACAATTTCCTTCCTTTTTCTCAGCGTTAAAACCCCTCTCCTGCCCTGTGCTTCCGTGCCCTTTCCGCTTAGCCCCGCTCCCCTTGGTGTAAGAGCTTTCTCCTCCGCAATTGCAGGAAATTGCCTCTCCACTGTTGCTCCTCTGCGGCGCTTCCAACCGCCCAATACCTTATTACTTAATCCTGCAATTGTTTACATCCCTCTTCAACGTATGGAACCATTCAGCCCTACGAGGTAACCGAAGCAAACACAGGAAGGGGTGTAAAGCGCAGAAGCGAGAGCTGAACAAACATGCCAGCACGGACGCTGCATGCGCAGCCACGTCCCGATCCACGCGACGTGCACGTATTTTTGCAGTTTAGGGTCTGAAAGTGGAAAGTCTTTGAGGCAGGAGCCGCCTTCTTGTCCCATGCAGCATGCTACCAGCGCAGCGTGGTTTCCAAGTTACTGCACAGCACAGAGATGTTTTGCGGCAGTATTATCTATCTAGGTCACCAACCCAGCGGAAGCTTTTTCTGCTATACAGGCTAGTCTGCCAAAAAAACCAAACAGGCACAATTTTCCTCTAATATAAGCGAGCCTCTAGCTCAAAAGTTAATTGATACTACTTTTCCTAAAGTTTCTGCCAAAGACGCTAACCAGTCTATAAATTAAAGAAGAACGCTTGTTTTAAACTTTCCATACCATTTAGCACTAGAGAGAGCAGAAGAGCATCAGCAAACCTCCTCGCAGAAACATTACAAAGGCTCGTCTCCTTCTCCTGCGACACTTCTATATTTAATTACAAAACCAGATTCCTACAGATGACATTTCTGTGCCCTCCGCATCCTTTCAAAGCAATAATATTTTATTAATCGTCACATTAAAGCAATTTCTGAGCTAAGCGTCGCTGCTCTGAGCTACTCAACAGCTGGCTGATTTTGAAGAGGAAAGGTTAACGCCTTCCCAAGCACAACTGCGTGTGGTCCCACGACCTCCGAAGCCTCCGTCCCTGCCAGAGGAGGTACTTCAAGCCTCCCTCCCTCAAGGGACCCAGGAGCCAACAGCACTTTAGTTTTAATAAATCCCCTCAACTCCTCTCCAGGTCAAGTTCTTAAAAACACCTAATTTAGGGGACCCTGAGGAAGGCAGGAATTAAGGGGAAATAAAGCAGCCATCAGTGCAGCAAAGGTAACGTCACACATCCGAGCGCTTGGTTATTCCCAGTTATTCATTTACTGCAATAGCCAGGACAATTACCAAACTCCTTTTGTTTTTACTTATCTCTGCAGCGTAACTAACGCTGCGGAACACGAGAGGTGGGAAGCAAGCCCGGGCTCACCCCAGCAGCTTTAACTTCCCGGTGCGGTCAGACGGCTTTGGTTTTGCAGAGGCCGCGGCGGTGCCAACACGGTCGTGCCTCCGCCCGCTGGCCCCGCTCGGGGCTGCCGGCCCGGCCCGGCTCGGCTCGGCCCCCCGCCCCCCCCGGGGCGTGCCCCCCCCCCCCGGCCCGGCCCGGCTCGGCTCGGCCCATCCCCGCACCGGGGCTGTGCCCACCCCTTCCCGGAAAACGCTTCAAGTACCTGCTCGCTCTTCTTTTTTTTATTTTCCCTTTTTTTGCCTTTTTTTCTCCTTTTTTTGCTTTTCCTTTTTTTGCCGTTTTTTCCCCCTTTTTTTTTGCCCTTTTTTGCCTTCTTCCTTCCTTCCTTTGCTTTCCTTTTTTTGCTTTTTTCTATTTTTTTGCCTTTTTTGCTTTTTTCCCTCCTTTTTTTTGCTTTCCTTTTTTTGCTTTTTTTCCTTTTTTTTTTTTTGAAGTAGGCAGAGTGTCAACATCTCCTGGCCTCTCTGCTGCCTGAGAAGTGGCACATGAGGATTGCCAGGACTGGCAGGCTGTCCTGGTTTTGGCTGAGATAGAGTTAATTTTCTTACTAGTAGCTGGTATAGTGCTGTGTTTTAGATTTGGGATGAGAATAATGTTGATAACACACTGATGTTTTAGTTGTTGCTGAGCAGTGCTTACACTAAGTCAAGGACTTTTCAGCTTCTCACACCACCCCACCAGCAAGTAGGCTGGGGGTGCACAAGA